CCACTTGACTGAGGAAAAGGTGTATCAGGTATTTATAAACCACCCAAAATCCCCAAATTGTATAAAACAGTGGAAAGTATGACAAAAGAGGAAGAATCTCTCAAAGCTGAAGAAATATTGATGAGTGCATTGTTATATAGTATAATAATAGCATTCCCATTAATATATATACTATATATATCATATGCTAGTATGGTCACCACTTGCCAAGTTGTAACTATTTGTTCGCTTTGATTCATTAGTTTAACTTTCTAGTGCAGCAATGCAAGTCTTGTTGCTTAGTAGCCATCTTGAAATACACCCAAACATTTATTTGGTTGTTATTTTGAGGCTCTGTCCAAGTTAACCACTGTTTTTGCTATTGCTGTGCATTTCGGTTCAGGAGTACCTGAGTGCAGTAGATGCAATGATAGCTGTTACACTGGATGTGCAAATTAAAAATGTTTTTAAAAATAGATTTCTTCTGACAGGTATCTCAGGATCTTTCAGAATGTGGACCTTTCCAGCAACTTCTACTTCAGGTAAGACAGTTTGTTATTCCAAACTCTCACTATTAGAAGGATACAGTAACTTGTATATGCACAAATTACGTCAGATTATAAATGCTGTTATCAAGGGGGCTTTCAGCACACACCCTCTAGGCTTATTTAGTACAAGTGCCCTTTGAATTTTACAATATCGCATCACACCAGACTAAACACGTGTACCGATGCCCTGCTCAGCTTGAAGGCTAGGAACAACTAAAAAGCATTTCTTGACCTTGTGGCCTTGGTTGGGAAAGGAACTCTGGCTATGGCCTGGAGATTTAATTTGATAATATGAATCATTTTCTAACAGTTTTTGCAGTATTAAAGATGATAAGAGGGGAAAAAACCCTTTCCAGTGAAGAAAATTATCTCAGAGGTTTGAAATGAGTGATTTGCTAATCACTCATCTGATTATATAGTATTTTAAAACACCAACATAACTGCCGAAAGATATGTAAAACATTGTGTTTATGTTATAAATTTGCATTGCATTATGGTTTTACTAATATGTGGGGAAAAAGAATTTCTGTGAGTGTATAAAGTATTGCTTGGTGTAATAATGGTGTGCAGCACAGGTTGTACTTGATTCATATGACTTTGCTTTTATGCTCTTTAGTTACAGCTATGACCTGAGCCACTCACTGCAGTACAACCTGACTTTGCTGCAGAGACCTTATGAACAATGGTCTTCAGCAGCTTCCTCTACTGAGGAAGAGGTACACACACAGAGCAAGCAGGACAGCTTTGACATCTTTGAAGATGAGGGTTTGCCTACAAAAGGTGAGAGGAGTTTATCTATATTCCTTTCATTTCTTTTCTTCATTGTATTGGCTGGGGAGGAGCTCATTGGGAGACACAAAACTATGATTTCAATCTGGAGAGGGAATACATGTTGTACCTGAAGTATATACAGTTGGGTCCATAATTTGTTATTTATTTATTCAAAAAATGCTGTGGTAGTGTACAGAGGTAAAACCACAAAATATATGGAATTTGCATATATGATTGCTAGTGAAACAGCATTACTATTATTTATTGGTAGTGTGTGACTGCTGATAGAAGTGGGAGAATAAATTGTGAATTGTACAGGGTTTTACTCTCTGCTCAGATTCAGACACATGCTGCAAAACTGATCAGACTGCAAATGGTTAATGATCAAAAAAGTATATTGCTGAGAGTTTCTCAAGCCAAAGAAATAGGATATTCTTCAATGGACAAATCAGTCAGCTGATCTTAACCCAAGAGAATATACTTTCCAGTTATTGAATACAAGTCCAAATGCAGTGAGACACAGCAACTTAAGGTGGCTACATTAAAACCTAACATACCATTAAAGTCACAGATACTCTATTTGGGAAATACTTTTATATTCTTTGACACAGGATTCGTGCCATTTATGACATATTTTGTAGTATACCAGTAGATAAAATTAATCAGTTATATCACTATCACTAAATATGATCTTTATGGTCTGATGAGCGTGACTGATACCAGTCCAGAAAAATGCTTCAGTCTTCTTTTTTTTTCTCTCTACAGTGGTTTATGGCCTTTACAACGAGCCTTACTACAAATATGTGTGGAACGGGAAGCTCCTGGAGCGAGTCAAGGACATAGTGCATCATGACTGGCTTATGTATATAATCCATGGATTTTGTGGCCAGTCCAGTATCCTTTGAGCATCAGCTGTTTATAGAATTATTTAGTGTTTCCTTTTTAATTGCCATGACACACTTGCTATGCTTTTTATGGAAACCATAAAAGAATATCCTCAAGGTTAGTACCTTTAGTGCAGCGGTCCCCAACCCCCGGGCCATAGACCCGTACCGGTCCATGAGTCATTTGGTACCGGGCCGTGACAGTTGAGGCTCGGGTGTGAAATTTATGGTTTTCAGGGTTTTTATTGTTAACTAGGTTTCCCTGGGTTTTTTCCCGTGTTGTAGTTGTGTGTCTTATTTTGAAAGGAATATTTTTGCGTTATATTACCATTACCATAGTAACCAGAGAGCATTAAGGGGCAGAGAGGAGGATGTTACTCAATGTTGTTGGCACATTTCAAGAGGACGCTGCTAATAAAGTTACACAATTACACCGTGAATTTGCGCTTATTATTGTATTTACAAAATACCACCGTTTTTGTCTTGGTCGTATCATTTTATTTTGTTGTATTTATCCGTGACACTTTAAAGGTCGGTCCGTGAAAATATTGTCTGACATTGAACTGGTCCGTGGTGCAAAAAAGGTTGGGGACTGCAGCTCTAGTGCATTCTTTTAAGTATTAAAGTTAGTGCCATGTTGAGACTTTGTTGGGATGCATCTGTCAGCACTGATCATTTTAACCAACCACATAGATGCAGCTGCATGCCAGGGAGTCTGTGTCTTTGATTTTCTTTTTTTCCCTTTTTGTCACAGCAAAAAGAACAGGGAACTGCTGTTATTTTTATTTATTTTTAACGGTAAAGGATTGCTTATTTGAAAATTAAGTGAATAACTGATTACTCCATGTGTGAAACTACACCCAACACCACAGAACACTCTCACATTGTTATCCTTTGTCGATACTTCTCATCTCTCATTCGCAGCACCACTTGTTGAACTGTGCTCAGCCCCCACCAGATCACGTGGATCACACTGTGTGATTCATCACAGAACTGCACAAGCAATTATTTGGTTTTTAGGGATTTAACAAAGCAAATATCAGAGCGTATCAGGTATGCATACACGGGCACTTTCAGAAGTGCTCGGGCTGTTATCTGCAGGGAGAAACAACACTGTGCATATTAAACAGATGAGTTACACGTGCTTCTTTCTGGAGACGTGCCTGTGTTTTGTATGAATTATGAATACTTTTCTTTTTTTTTGGTTTGTTTATGAGCTTCAGTCCTTTAGTATCATTTTCTTTTAAGTTTTGAGTACACACCAGCAAATTTTCTCTCCATGAATAAATTCTCCTGGATTTCTTTTTATTCATTTATTTTTTGTGTTATTGATGCATGGGTAACTGCTGCAGAGGGACTTTGCACTTGATTACCTCTGATTTATGGGAGTAAAAGTCAGCCTCAGGTTCAGTTTTCAAGTTTTAGTCATTCACCATTGTGTCTCGTTAAGCAATCTTTCCTTATTTTTGTTCAGCCAATATTAATAATGTTAATGGATGTTCAATATACAAATACTTTCAAACCAGATTTATCTTGTTTTTTGTCTTTAGCCACGTTCTGTGAGTCTTCTGCAGATAAACACAGAAGTGCAATAACTTAATATGCAATCAGGCCTGTTGCTGTTGTCTCCCTCTTTAGGCAGCCTGCTGCCGCTGTGGCAGTGTGTGGGTGTTTTGAGTTTATCAAATTCCTGGAAATTGTTTGGCATTCAGTCCTCTTTTCTGAGTGGATGAAAGGGCCACTGGGTGCAACAAGAAGAGACTCACCAGATAGGAAATATGCAAAACCTTTTAGCAGATGGGAAGACACAGAAATGCACTAAAAAAGATGTGGAATGGTTCAATCACGAGCTATAAGTAAGGTTTCTTATTGGTTTCTTAATATTGGTAGAGGTGGGATGAATCGGAAATAAATATATTTCCCAGGTTCATATTCTAACTACAAGTGAAACTGTCATCATTTCAGTTTAGGAAATTTCCGCAGCAATTTCCTAATGTTGTAAACCTGCTCAACATCTGGCAATAAAACCCTTTCTGATTCTGATTCTGATTAAGAGCTAATGTCAAAGCATGACTGCTATGAATGAAATACAATTTTAAAAAGGATTTTTCTTTACATTTTACTAATAATATGTGTTTGTTTCCACAGGTCATTGTTAGGCTGTTAGGTCTATATTGGTATTATTATTATTTTTCCTTTACCGACCACCTACAGAACTTCTGATCTACGGCCGACCGGTTCACATCACCCTGATTGCCAGGCGCTCCAGCAAATTTGCTGGCACCCGTTTCCTCAAAAGGGGAGCCAACTGTGAGGTACAGAAGTTACCAGGGTAACTCGGAGGAACAGATAGTAGAGGGTGGCATCAGGGCCAGAAAACAGATTGAGATGACTCAGGTTAATCACAGGGGGTTAATTGGACACACTTTCTCTTTTTGGAATGGGAGTGAGTGTCTTTGAGATGGGATGTTGTTCAGTTATATCCTTTTTTTCTGTAGGTAAAGAAGATGAAGAGTTTTCTTGCCCAGATATGTAACAAAACATGTAACAAAAAACCCCCCAACAATTTCTAGTATTTACTGTTCACATGACTGTAGTAGGAAAACTGAGAATGAGGAAGGTAATTGCAGACCGAATGTTAGAAGTCTTATATTAGAATGTTAGATGAAGAACATAGACTTTATTAATCCCACAGTGGGGAAATTCACATGATACAGCAGCACAAGAGTCAGTGAAAAAAGAAGTGAATTAGAGCTATATTATAAAAAAATAGCAATAGAAATGGAAAAATAATTTAATTTTTTAAAAAGCCAAAAAAACTGTACACCAGTAATTTCTGTTACTGGTAAAATGGTTGTTATACCCAGGAAATAAACTCAAATTATTTTTTTCATATGTACATATACATACATAAAGTGCAGTGGGAGTGTTTATATAATATATACACGTAAGTTGTACGTTCAGTTTTGAAATGTTTGCCATGTGAAAGGTGAAGAAACACTTTGATATCTTATGATAAACTACAGCACTGTGTAAAGCTTTGAGCCTCCCCTCATTGGTTCACAAGGCGATGGCATCGTAATTTTTACATTAATCTTGAGCAAAAGCTCTTCAAGCTTTCTGAAGTTCATGCAAAGTTTTTCTGTCCATTCTTCAGTATAGCAATGAATGTCTACAGCCATCTATAAAACACAGGAGAGGTGGTTTTAGTGCTGCATTATAGTCATCATGTCAAAATTGATGGAATTATGAACACAGAACAGTGCTATGTTATTTGGATCTGTCATGCAATACCATCTGGAAAGCATCTGATTGGCAATGACTTCATTTTTCTAGCATGACAATGATCCCAAACACACTGCTAATGCAGTGAAAACATACCTGGGCAGAAAAACATCACGGATTGTCCCAGTGCCCGGGACTATCCGGGCACCGGGACTATCCGAGATCATCCTTACAGAGCAAAAAACAGCGAACACCCAAAGAATAGCTCTGAATGTTCTTCAACAAGCCTGAAGAACCACTCCTGTAGACTACATAAAGAATTTAGATTTATATAATTGTATTATAATAATTGTTTTATGTTCTCTAAAGACATGTTCTTGGGTTTCCCAATCATGCCGAAGTTTATCATTTCTTTTTTGCTTTTCTCATTTTTTGTTTTATTTTGTTTTTTTCAGGGGGATGTGGCTAATGAGGTAGAGACTGAACAGGTCGTCCATGACGCCTCAGTTATGTCTTTCACAGCAGGGAGTTACTCCTCATATGTCCAGGTGCGAGGCTCCGTCCCACTCTACTGGTCCCAGGACATTTCCACCATGATGCCAAAACCTCCAATTCGATGTAAGACTTCTTCTTTACACTTCAGCATCAGCAGCTTTTGTTGTAGGCTGAAATATGTAACATGTGGTGAACTGTATATGTATTATTTTTGTCTTTTGATACTTCAGAAGAAATAAGTCATCGAAGAAAAGCTACATTAAATTAAGAGAATATATGTAGAGTATACTGAGGCCATTCCTTTCAACTATTGGCAAAAGATTAAAAAAAAATAAGACTGTGAAGGCAGGATGGCCCCTTTTGGCTTCAGCTTTGTATCCGTCCTATTTCATTATAAGCAGGATAAAAACACAAAGCCGTGGCCAGAGGGAGGTGATTAGGTACCGAGACTGACGGTGAGGACAGCTCTGTGTGTGGGGGTGTACACACAGGAATAGACTGGTGTTTGCATGTGTACAATGCCTGTATTAGATTGTAATCTTTTTTTCGTTTGGTTTGCCCTTTAATTCATCCTCAGGTGACATTTACCTGTGAAAGATAGACACTGAGCATGTCCCTAAGATCCCTCCGTGTGTCATCTTCCCTCATCGTCCTGCTTCCACTTTGATCCTTCAAAACGGTCCTTATCTGACATTTCCTAAATGTTTCCCCAACCCTTCCACCATCAGTTTAATATTTGACCTGTTTACGTGTGTTAACAGTTTTCTCAGTGCATGGCATACTTTTTCCCCTCCATCATATTTTTGCCTCCACTGAGGAGAAGTAATATGCCATCTAATTAAGTGGTTGACGCAAACTAGTAGTTTAGTTTGTTGAGTCTTTAATCCTGTTCCCAATAGGTCTACTATTACTGGGGATTTCATTTTTAATAATTAAAAACACTTTAAGATCAATTTTAAAATTAAAATCACTAAATTATTCATTATTCGTTCCAGCTGGACTTTATTTTTGTACATTTCACATCTTTGTGCTTCCTGAGCCTTCCTAATTTTGAATTAGGTGAAACTAAAAAGCTGTCCTGCTCACATTAGCCCATGTTTAATACGAGGAAAATGTTGCTTTGTTGTTGACTGGAGAGAAAGACATCTTCACTGGTGCATAAATGTTTATAGAAAAATTATATTTAAATAAATTATTGGTGTGCCAGTATAGCTTGCTTTCATTGATGGTACAACAAATGAAACTCAAAAATCAGTTTTATTTGTTTCTATTTAATAATATAGGTTATTATTATTGTGGAACCTTTCATATTAAATAACTGTCCGTCTCCAGGTCACTTATGTTGGTCAAAACAAATATGTTCTCTGTGGTAGGCTGATACACACATTTATTGATTGGACCATAATCTAAATTTTACCTAGGGCATCAAATTGACTTGGCTCTAATCAAAAACAGAACAAATCTTGGAATACTTGAAGTGGTCTGAAGAGCTTAAAATGCACTTTTGGGTATTGGATCAATCTCCTTAATAAATAAATGACCAACATGTGACATTTTTGTCACATATGTTTAGTTGGGTTCTCTTTACTTACTTTTAGGACCTATGTGGAAATCAGTTGATATTTTTTTCTGTTTTTCTGCTGAAATTTTAAAGGGATCACAAATATCCAAGCCCATTGTCGTAGCTGAATCTAGGTCAACAACGTAGCTAAGAGACATACTGGACTCAGTGCATGCAGAGTAGAGAGTGTCTATATTACACAATGCATCTCTCCTTGCCCCATCTCTGATATGTCAAGACTCATTATTGCATAATTGAATCCTTTAGGAGATGACCTTAGTTGACCGCTGAAGGAAAGTCACCAATATCATTATCCAAACTCCCCTCCCAAGGTGCACAAGCGCTTTACATAAACTATCATCCTTTGAGGTGTGAGCAGTGGAAAACATGACGATTAAATGGTTTTGGGGAGAAGCTGAAAAAGGTGACATTTAATTTATCAGTTCTGACACACAAGCAGCTCTGTGGGATGAACTGCAGCACGATCTGACCTATTTTCTTAAGTCTCCTTTCTGGCAGCCGCACTAGTCCAATTTGGCAACGTGTGCAGGTGTGAGGTTGAGCATTAGTGGCAAGTAGAAGCTGTAAATGTGCTTTTTAAAAGGAACATTTAATAGAAAAATGAAAATGCAAAGGTTCAGTGCGGTGTTAAAGGTCGTCTGTTAAAATAGTCACGTGGAAAAGTTTTAAACTCAAAAAGAAAAGTATAGATACAATATTGTTTTGAAAAATAATTTCTATTGAGGTCAATAAAGTTGTGTTATATTCTTGTGGGGACCCTTAAATATTTAACCATTAAAATATTTTTTTCTGTCTAATTTTGCAGTGGACCAAGCTGACCCATACGCCTATGTAGCTGGCCTCCATTTTGACCAGATGCTACAGCGGTTTGGCTCACCCATCATCATCCTCAACTTGGTCAAGGTAGGGAGGTGCTGAAATAAGTATTCCAAAATGTGTTTAATGACACAAAAATACAATCATTAAGTAATAAAATCACTTACAAGCTATTTACTATTTACATAAATTCTTGTGATATAAATAAAATCACATCTCCACACAGTTATGCAAGTATGCAGACTTCGAACGTCTTAGTTATTAAATTAATAGCAGATTTGAACGTACCTGTGAATCCATTCTAGGGCTAGAGAGTTCACGGTTACATTTTTCCAGTGCTACAGTTAATTAGCACTTTGCACCTTCTTTAGGGCACATCTGCAGCACAATGCTTTCAGAGAAACAATGCAATAAAGGGAAATACGTAAATACACAGCTCATGTTGTCTTCTGCTAATTTATCTACATTTTATTTTCTGTATATCAAATTTCAGTTCAATAAAGTCAGTAAAATCAGTTTTATTTACATAAGCCCAATTCACAAAAACAGTCAATTCAACGCACGTTATATTGTACGGTAAACAGCTTAAAATAATACAGAGAAAACCTTAACAATCCCTCCCCATGAGCAAGCCCACAGTCTGACAGCAAAGTGCTCTATTGTGGTGATATGGTACTAGGAGGCCTTTAAGATAAAATACGACCTGGTTATTGAAGACCTTGTAAGTGAGGAGAAGGATTTTAAATTGGATAAGCCAATGAAGAGAAGCTAACGTGGGAGAAATGTGGCCTGTCTTTCTAGTCCCTGCCAATACTCTCGGTACAGCACTTTTATTAAAACTGAAAGAGACAAAAATGGCTAAGGATTATATATGCATCAAGCATATCTTTAGATCAAATAACTTTCTTGTGTGATCACTCAAGAGGTAGCTATTTAAAATTATAGTGCAGGGCACGACTGTAATTTGTCAAGCATTCTGTTGATATTGGTGCGTTAGGTGTTGCTGTGGAGCCGTTTAGTCACAGGAGACTTTCTGAGTGCTTGCTGATTACAAGCGGTTGAAAAGCTGCCTTGAATATTGATCTGCTTCTGCATTGTTCTGGAAACACAAGCATACTAACACGCACAAGCACATTTGATAAGACACACCTAGCTTTCACCACATTATGCCTTCCATATTATTCTGCTGAAAAATTAACATAATTCATTTAAACTGCTGTCAGTTTAAAAAAAAAAAAGCAAGATTATTATGTTTTATTATAAATTATGAAGATTATAAAATGCTTTATCTTGCTTCATGCTGCAGATGTATCCTTGTGTGCATCACGGTTACTTTATGTTGGGCACATGGCCATATACTCCGTAGATTGGGTCTCCAGCTCACGTTGTCACTCACAAGGGGAACTGTGAGATGAGGAACGAATCACAGAGCTCAGAGGTGTGCACAAGCCACAGCCATGTGAAATTTGCAGACTGCGGGGAGCAAAGCAGGGGATCCCCTGCTAACACAATACCCCCCTCCAGATTATCCAAGAGAGACAGAAAGAGGAAGGAAATGGCATTTAACCATAAAACCCACTGCCATCTATCCCTTAATGGAGGTGGCATGGGCCATGCTGGCCCTTCAAACTCTTTTATATGTGCATCATTTTGGCAAGGGCTAATGCATGCATCCCAGCATGTAAGAAAGGAGGCGTAAAGGCACACATGGTAAAGCATGTGAATGACTTGTTCAGGATACCTTGTACGCTGTACCCTTAGATATATAATTTGGATTGTAACCTTACAGAAAAACATGAAACCCATTAAACCATTGTGGTAAAATATACACCCATATTATTACAGTGTTCATTAACGTCACTAATACGTCACTGAAAAGCCCACTCCCATACGTCAGTGTGCATGTGTGATTGTTTTATGTTATCATTCGTGATCTGCGACTGCACTTTTGCACCTCAACATTATTGTGGCCTTTTATTAAAGCTTGTTTATACCTGTGAACAATACAAGTCTGCTGTTCTGAGTGTTTGTTCACGTGTACTGTACTTGTAGCATCTCATCTGTGCTCAGAAAGTGTGACCGAGCGTGTATACGTGTCTGCCTGTATGACACGCTCTGCTGAATGGTCGAGGAAATGTGCTGGTAATTTGACTGGTTGCTGTGGTGCCACTGCTGGATGTTTGAATGGCGATGTGAGCTGCTAAATGATGCGTCCAAGCTGATTATCACCCTGGGTGATCAGTCATAAAGCTACAGTGGAGTTCATGTGGAAATAGCTTAATGGATAGTGTGACTGCAGATCACACAGAAGGATTATGAGTTCATGCATTTTAGTTGACAAAGAATAATTCCTTCGATATTTTTTTTTCTGTTTTTTTTTTTTTTCTCACTTACTGATTACGACAAAATTAGAGGCAAGATTTATAATCACTGTAATATTGTTGCACCATGTTTGCTCGCCAAAGGTACTTTTAAATTTTACACCATCAAATTTGCTGTATTTTGCAGTTTGATGTTGTTGCCCATCATTTTTTTTCTTAGTGAGCTTGGAAACCAATCTGGTTGGTTGCTAGATGTTGACCAACAGTTCTTAAGGCCACAAAGTTCTGTAAGTTTGTGCAGGCATAACTGAAGTAAAAGGCAGGGGAAAGATGTTTTTAAATATTACTTTGGACAAAATTTCTAAATGTTTTACTGGGTTTTTTTTGCCCCTCAGCCATAAAAGGCTCATTGGGTATCATCACCCTGCCAGGCAGGTGAGAGGTCAGGCGACGTGGACACCCAAGTTTGTGAATGGGATCATTCGTGAACAAAGCAATTTAGGACTTTCAAATTGATACCAATTAGTGCCAGAGGTATATCCTATATTTATCAAAGTACCCGTGTGCGTGTGTGGACCGCTCGTTTTAATATTTTACACACAAAACATAACCCCCTTTTTTTTTCCTGATTATTTATTTTCCTTGTGAAAGTCGTGTTTTTGTTTTTGTTTAATTAAAATGTTTTTTCACATTCAATTTTCATTTTTAGGTTGATTTTAGTAGGCTGGGATGTCCTTGGCCTGCATCATGTGGTTTCTATTACATATATTCTACTCTGCTCGATGCCTGTAAATTGCATCTTGCAGCTTTGTGTTCTCTGAGGTCACTGTGTAAAAGACATGAACGGATGTTGATTAATACTTCAAAGGAAAACACAGAATCTGTTACATGTCTGACTACAGCCCTAATGGAAACCTTTCAAAGAACTCAGATACTATTGTGACTGTACATCAAGCCCACCATAATGTAACACTTAAGTTGACGTTTGATAGAATCACACATACATGTGTACATCTCTTTGTTGTGCTACAGAAGCGTGAAAAAAGGAAACACGAGAAGATTCTGAGTGAGGAGCTGTTCCGTGCTGTGGTCAACTTGAATCAGTTCCTCCCTCCCTCCCATTGCATAGACTATATCGCTTGGGACATGGCCCGATACACCAAGAGGTATTGACAAATACTAGTGCACAGAATATCTTTAAGGTGCAGGTTTATTGTGTTTTTACCATCAAAATAAGAAGCTCACTTTGAAAGAGGGGAAAAATATCATGGTGTGACGTAAGCACATTACATAAAGAGAAAATTGAACCTTTGGACAAGTTTGTATGCCTGTAAGCACTCAAATAACAAAATCACTGTGACCCCCATGTCCACCTCATTCCTGTGAAAGTGGTATATCAGGAAAATCAGAGTCACTGTGAAAAACTAAGTACATCCTGTGATTTAGTAGCTTGTAGAACCAATATTTAGCAGCAATAACTTGAAGTAAACATTTTCTATCTGACTTTATAATTCTCTTAGAACTGCTTGAAATTCCTCTCACATTGTTGTAGAGGAATTTTGGGAAGGTCCGGACAGACGTGTTAAAGAGAGCTCAAAGCAGCTATCTGGGATACTCTGAAACTTCTCTGGATTAAAATACTGACATTATTCATTTCCAGACCTTCTCATTGTTTCTGATACACTCATATGAGATCTTGACATTTTAACCTGAGCCCTTTTGGGAGCAAAGAATAGAGATGTTAAAGTCTAGGGACTTGGATATAAAATTTGATGAATGAGCTTCTACAGGCACATCCATTTTTTAAAATGATTTATTCTTCAGCGAGTTAAAATGACATTTCCAATCTTTCTCTTTCTGTCCCAGCAAGTTGTGCAATGTTCTCGACCGTCTGAGTATGATAGCAGAGAACGTGGTCAAGCGAACGGGTTTCTTCATTAATCGCTCTGACTTCTACTGTCACACTCTCAGACCAGATGAAAGGTGAGACTTTTTCTTTCTTTTTTTTAAAAATCCTATTCGATTGCTTCTTTTTCTGCCCCTTTAAAACAGAGAAGGCCGAAACACACACTGCTGGACAAGAATTAAAACTTTCAGTCAGCCCCATGTGCAAAACAAACACATCTTTTACTGTTTCAGTTTTATTTGAAGCAAACTAATAAGTAAAATGGAAGCTGCTTAATGAATCTGAGTATGACCGGGTTACAGAAAACTAAACCGCAATAGTGTCTTTTTTTAGATTCATATAGCGGATGTTTTCCACAAATTTTGTAAATTTAAGGTTTTGTCATTTTCCATATTCATGATCACACTTATCGACACTTGCTTGATTTTGAAACTTTCCACATATGAATTCTTAATGGAAATTATGCCTGATGGCAGTTGTATTACATTGAAATTTCTGCTAATGAGCTGAGTAGATTGCCATCCATGTACATAGTGCCTGGCTCTTCTACTGTCTGGATGATTTAATCGCTTTTACTCAGCATTAGCATTCTGTTACATAACACAACGACCATGCCAGAGCACATATTTATTACCCTTTCTTTTGCATTACGTAAGCTATCACACTTTCTTTGCTTTAAGGACTCATACGCTCAGCCACATGCTCCCAACTACACACATGCACGCACACACATACACTGGTAGGTGTTTTGTTTGTTTGTGCAATCAGGTATGACACCTGTAGCATTCATCACATGCAGGAATTGGGTCATGGATAATGAAGATATTTACAAAGTCTTGATAACGCTGCCTTGTTCTGATCATTTAGACGTTTGTCTGAAGTTTCCATCTCGCTGCATTCAGACTTTGTACTTTGATGCATACTTTAGCTACACCTGCTGATTGATTTTAAAGTGGGTCACGGAGTTTATTCAGAGATGATAAAATGTGTTTTAAAACTTCCTCTTAAATATCCACAGCTCACAAGGAGAAATTCAGAATTACTGGGGTTTTTTGCATTGATTGATTTCTGCTTGATTTTGTACAATTTAGTCTGCCTTTCGTCAAAGGGTGATTTTCTTTATTTGCTGTTTTTCCCTTTTAAAAAGAAAGTGTTGAATGAGAGTGGTAGAGAATTTAAATGGAATAAGGAAAATACAGTTACTTTGTTAAAATAAAGGGATTACACGGCAGTCTTTTCCTGTTTCATATGTTAGGCTGTCCCCTCTCTATTTTTGGTAATTCCACGCATTGCCGGTGTTGTGCCAAAAAGTGATTGTCTGCCAAAAACTGATTTCTGGCATTTGCCAAAAACTGATTGGTTGTATTTAAACTGCTATAAATAACTTGTTGATCTACAATATGTGAAACATATGTCAAATATATCCCTCATGAATTATATCCAGTCATCTTGACCAACAAACAACATTCCTGTAAGAAGGTAGAAGCCGCAATCACTTTTTGGCAGTGACTTTTCTGTATCCTTTATTTATGCAGTTAAAAAAAAATTCTTGTTTGCTTTAAAAAACGTCTCTTTTAAGAGTATTCTGGCCAAGAGGACAGCTGAAATTGCAACAAATGCAAAAATAGTTCTGTAAACATATTTTAAGTGGACAAAAGGAAGCTGATTGATTATAATTAAGTACAATAACACAGCTACAAAGATAATTGAGAAACAGGTAATTTTTTTAAAATTGTGTATTTAACCCCTTTGCAATACCTGTTCACCGAAGTCTATTTAGCAACATACGTAATGGTATTACACATAAAAAACACACGGAAATATTGGAAATCACTTTTTGGCACAACACTGGAAACCCAAACAAAACACATTAAGAGGCTCTAATGCCTGTGTCTCAATCTCGCGGCCCATGTCACCTCTACTTGCAGCCCACATAATGACGTGACAAAATATGTTTTTTTTAATTATTGTTCAAAAAATTATTTAATATGAAGACAATAGGCAGAGTGCTACAGGCATAACCCTAAAGAATGTAGCCTCATGGGCAGTGTAGCCCAGTTGTAAGTAAGCTATTAAGACTCGACTGTACACTGTGTTCGTGTTTTCCTCCAAAACAAGACGTTCTGTTGGAGCAGCCTTTCAACGCCTCTCTCTGTCTCTCGTTAGCAGAGTTGACCCAGACAACAAAGTAAAACTAGTTATCGGTTACGAGCCTGACGCGGAACCCGACGTATTAGCCAGAGGTCCATTTACTACAGTTCGGAGACACAGACCTGCTTTATATACACGCCGAATAGTTTTCGCTGCAAAAAGTGCAGCCTTACCTAATGTCCACCCTACTGTTACTCATTTTATATTAAGATTTAAAAATCTAGTTGGTACTGGTATGGCGTGTAGCCTTCAGTAATAGTAATAAATCACACAGCAATAGTACATTCATGTAGTTGTAAAAAGCTTGATAATATATAAAGTAATCCATTGTATTCAGAATACGTTACTCTCATACGTTACATTTTGGGGCTTGTATTCTGTAATCTGTAGTGGAATACATTTTAAAAGTAACCTTCCCAACACTGGTGGTGGGAGATTTGCATCATGGGTATGCCGCAGACAGATCTGCAGCAATGTGACGCTATCGTGTCAATATTGACCAAAATCTCTGAGGAATGTTTCCATGACCCTGTTGAATCTATGAAACCATGAAGAATTAAGGCAGTTCTGAAAGCAAAAGAGGGTCTAAACTGGTACTAGCAAGGTCTACACAGTGAAGTGTAAAGCAACGGCCAGCTACTGGATGGTTCAGCTTGACCCCAAGTAACACAATATGTACCTACTAACAAGTTCACTAATCAGTAAATTGGTGTCCTGTTTATTAACATTCATGTAACAAAAAAAAACCTATTAGCAACTAGCACTCTGGTTGTTTGCCTCTTTCTGACTTCACGTTAACAAAATAACCAAGAATTAATCTCTTTTTTTCTAAATTTTAAACATACTGTAACTTTTTTTTTCTAGGGGTCAGTATAACTTTGCTTGGTTTTGCACAGAAAGTACTACAGCAGTGTAAATGTGAACACTTTTCATCTCTGGGTATTAGAATTTGTCTGCTGAACATTTTCTTCTGTACTTGCACTCCTGATGGGGGTGCATTGTGTCAGGGTGCCTTTGCTGTGTCTGCACCCATTCCATTATGTTCATTCTCGTAATGGTGACAGTCACTGTGATGACAGTTATCATCGCAGTTTCATCATACTGAAGCCGGAATAAATTAGAAAATGTTCTTGCAGAAGAATAGTATTGTGATGTACGTGTTCGGTTTGTTTCCGTTTGTTTATTGACTTCAGTAAATTAAGTAACATTTTTACAGGTGGGGAGATGTAGGTGGACAAATAACATCCACTGGGCGACTGCAGGTAGGTCTTTTGCAGCTTTTTGCACACAATTGTAAAAATGTAGTCTTTTTTTAAAAAGGCTTGCCTGTTTGTCATCATCATAATGATTACTACTACTGAGTTAATAGGCTGTAGTTTATAAAGTCAGCTGTTTTCCTCTTGTTGCTTGATGTGTAGACTGGTGTGTTGCGGACCAACTGTGTGGATTGTCTTGACCGGACCAATACTGCCCAGTTCATGGTGGGCAAGTGCGCTCTGGCTTATCAGCTTTACGCGCTGGGAATGATTGACAAACCCAAGCTCCAGTTTGATACTGACTGCGTGAGGTAAAGTTCATATAATTGCCTGAAAATCTAATCCATGCTAAACTTTATCTTTTTCATTTATTTGGAATCCTTTTGGCAGACGCAGTTATTCCAACCTTTTATTCCAAAGTTTGCTGCTCTAAATTCAGTATTCGCAAACACTAGTAGTGTGTGTCTCTGTCTACTTTTACTTGAACCTGCCACTTAAAGATCAGTTTTTTCCATCTGAACACAGCATGAGCTACAGTCAGTGTATCAAGGAGAACAAGAATCTGTCACATGCTTGAACTGAAGCGTTCTTACAAGCAACGTGAAAGCTGTTAGAACAGCACATTAACACCACTTAATATGACTCATAGCTCTCTAGTAGTTAATCACTGTTGCACACATACAAAGAAACAAGCACAAAATACAGACCCAATCATTTGCGGTATTTTTAATTACTTTTTTTTTTTTTTACACCTTTTTTTTCCCAAAAAATAATCCTCCAAAAGTCCACATCACCAAAATAATAAATGAATCACAGTTTTATTTGCCCTTGCGAATTGATGACATTTTTTCTTTTGTGCTGTTCAGGTTGTTTGAGGAGTTGTATGAAGACCATGGAGACACTCTGTCACTGCAGTACGGGGGCTCTCAGCTCGTGCACAGGGTCAAGACTTACCGCAAGATTGCACCCTGGACACAGCACTCCAAAGATATCATGCAAACGCTGTCACGGTACTACAGCAATGCTTTCTCAGGTGTGTTCTACGCTAGTTCCTTCTATCCTCAGCTATGCTCCGTATTAAACAGAATCTACCCTTAGTTATGTTCCAGGTTTCCATAGAAATGGGCTCAACCTGTGCATGCATGTGTAGTTTACACTCATGTGAAGTATGAAGAAAACGACACTCTATAATTACATATAAGCAAACATTTCTGCCTTTACTTGAACAGAACATAGGACAAATGTGAATCGGCTCACAAAACGTTTTGTGAGAAAGTTTGGTCACAAGTGAAAATCACTCAAGATAGTTGCCAATCTTCCCAGCAACAGACAACTTAACAAATTCACCTTTAAGCCAGACTGTGCGACTGTGTGACTCAGAGAAACTGCACCAAGTCAAAGAATTGGTGACTGTAAAGCCATATGTTAGCATGTTAAATATCAAAGTTCATGACATCTCAATTCAAAAGAAAATGAACAGGCATGGCTTGTTTGAAAGGGTTGTCGGGGAAAAGTATTGTTTCTCTAAAAAACAAAAATGGCTTATGTTTGCAACGTTGCATCTGCACCAATCACAAGACTTTTGGAACAATGTGTTTTGGACAGACGAGACCATAATGCCATGTTTGGCAAAATCCAAACACCTCATACCAACTGTCAGCACAATGGTGGATGCGAGAAGATTTGGGTCTGTTTTGCAGCAGCAGGACCGAGGCACCTTACAGTCATTGAGCCAAACATGAACTCCTTTGCATACTAAGCTATTCTAGAGTCATATATGAGGACATCTGTCTGACAGCTAAAGCTTGGCTAAAATTGGGACATGCAACAGGATAATGATCAGCTTCAAATATACAATTCAGTAGCTAAAAGACTGCAGCAACAAGGTGTCAGTCCAGAACATCAGCGCTGCTGAAATACTGGGACAAGACCTTGAGAGACCTGCACACAAATAAATGCCTGCAAAGCTCAATGAACTGTGGGAACATGGTAAAGAGGTGTGTCAAAATTCCTCGGGAAAAAAAAAAGGCAGTTACTTCACATTTACCTTTGCTAAACCCCTTTTTTCTGCGCATGACTGGGGATGAGATTTCTAATATTGTTAATTGCAGATATTTTTTTGATTGCAGCCAATTTGTAGACGTGACATAATTACCCAGCAGTTACTGATAAAAGTGGCTTTGCAATGTCCGCAATTTCGATTTTTAATCATTTTAAATGACACCCTAGTGCGTGGTTACAATCAGTGTATCTAGAAATCTTAATGGGTTTACAAAGGTGTTTTCACAGTACACCAGCGAGTGTTCCAGGAGTGAAGACGAAGACTGTGTACTGTGTCTTAAACCTTGATTAACAGAACTGCACTACTTGACCTACAACATCGACCTTGTTTGTGGTGCTTTGCTCTTGATTTAGTTTTGAGAAATTCAATCAGTAGTTTGTTGCTGAGAGTAGCGTGTATTAAGAATTTTTAAAAAGAAGCCCATATAATCCAGCAGCACAGACAGCCAGAGACCATCACACTCGAACGGGATTCATGAACTGCAAATTGAACAATCCCATGACCTGAATCAGGTAATATGATTAACTACTTGTTGCCACTTAAGAAGACTATATAAGGACAAATTAGCCTAAATGCTTTGTAGTCTGAGCACTGGCTGGTTTGTTCTGTCAACTTGACCCTTTACAAGGGCACAACCATTTTCACAGATTTTCCCATGGTCATGTTTTCCATGCCCTTTTAGACTAGTTTCTGCAAAATTGGAAAAGGGTAATTCCACCCTTGTGTTGCTCAGTAATTTCTAAAAAAAAGAACACCCGGTAAATGTTAAAACCATAATCCTTCCATAATAAGTTCTCCTATTAATGGCACTCATATGTGCATATGTATGTTGTATATATTTTTATTATGTATATGGGGAATTAAAATAAATACAGTAGAATAAAATTATAAAATGCTACTTCCTATGAGGTAAATGACATATAATTTTATATCATAGTCAAGCACTGTAACAGCTTCCCCTTGAATCACAGATCAATTTTATACACAGAACCATGTAGTGTAAGCTTCCATATCCTGTGCAGCCTTTTAATTGGTAGATGCAGTGTGACCTCATATGCTTATTAAGACAATTAACAGACATGATGTCAAATTATATTCCTCCTTCCTTTCATTCATAATGGTTGCACGTGTATATTATTTTCAAAGATCACCAGTAACTCGTATCATGTGTGATACACGAGATAAATCTCAGAGAAAAAAACGTAATTGGAGAACAGTCTTGGTGGTGGGCTGTAATAAAACCCAGTTTAGTTTCTAATTACCTAACGTGACTGTTGGGGCAGCATGCACGTGGCTTCGTGCTGTAGTTAGGGAGGGTGAATTAAATGGCACTAAACCAGACAAATGTACAAAGCACGTGCCACATGCTGAGCACACAAACGCTCACAGAGATTATCTAAGCACACACTCATAGCCAAAATGCTGTAGTGCAGTTGTTACAAGAGTTTTTACTGCTATGATGTATGTACAAGTCAGCGTTACTTAGATGTTGATTCATTAACTTAAATCTTTTCAATGCTGCTCACAGTGAAGAGCTGGTGTAGTTTGCCATCATGGTAAAGGAGGCTTAAGTTTGCTTCACATTCACTTTTGAACTGTACTCCCCTG